CTTCCCCCCTTTCTTTCCCCCTTCCCCCCTTTCTTTCCCCCTTCCCCTCTTTATTTTCACCTTCCCCCCTTTTTCCCCCTCCCTTTTTTTTTTTCCTTTCTCCCTTTTTTTCCCTTTCCCCTTTTTTTCCCTCTCCCCTTTTTTCTCCTCAGCTCAAACTCACCCCAAACACACCTTCCCGCCCAGCGAGTGTCCTGGGCCCATTCCCTTTCAATACAGGGAGAGGTTTTGTTGTTTTCCAAGCTGCTTTTTTTTTTTTTGACAAATCCAAACCAGTCCCACCCAGTAACTCGCAGTGTGGCCCCTGCAGGTGAAGACAGCGTTCCGGCAGAAGGCCCTGACGTGCCACCCGGACAAGAACCCGGACAACCCCCGGGCAGGTGAGACACCAGCAGCAATTCCTGGGAGTTTTCACCTCTCCAGGCTCCTGGAAGCGGCTCCGCTTCCCTTCAGCACTATCCTTGAGGGAATGCCGGGGTGCCTGTCCCCTGGAACACGCACACACATGGGGCTCAGAGTTGCTGTCGTTGCTGTTAACTCCGGTTTTTAGGGCTGAGTGATCCCTGTCGGGTTTAGGAACATCAGCGTTGAGTCAGTGCTGGAATTAGAATTGCACCTCTCAAAATCTTCCCACGTGGTGCCTGAACTCAGACCTTTGGCTGGACACTGGTTTCATCCATATCTCTCACAGTCCAAACTTCAACAGCACATTATCTGTGGGCACGGCCCGTTTTTGTTGGGGAAAGGGCCCCAACTGTGGAGCTGAGCTCACCCAGGCTGAGCAAGGTCTGGCTTCTGCTGCTGCCCTGGTTCCGAGAGTAACTGTGGGAAAAAATAGTAGCACTGAGGGGAGATCTGGGAGGTTTGATGCCTGCAGGAGCAATGGGAAGGATGTGGGGAAGCCTCAGGCTTATCTGTGTCACCTTCGAGGAGGAGGAGGAGCAGCAATGTTGATGTGAGATGAAAAGTTTGGATCTCGGGCTGGAAAGCTGGTGATGTGCCAGGCAGGATTTGTGTGGAATGGGGAATTTCAGCTGCCTGCAGTGAGGGAGGGAGTGGTTGTTGTAGATGTAAATTGCATAATTAGCAATTAGTTTCTTTTTTGTGCGTCAAGACTACTGATAATTCATCTTCACAAAAATAAATATAATTTCCCAGTGCTTGTAATAGGACAAAGGAAAGAGTTTTAAAGGCTAGATGGCTGTAATATAACAATTTCCAATACGACATAAGTAGGAATTCTTGATGATTTATTTGTACACAGACAAGAAGAAGTCAAAGAAGTAATGAGAGGAAGAAGAAAACTATGAGCTCCAGCTAAATGTGCCATGAAGGAGACATTGCAACCCACGATAAAAACAATCAGTATGAAAAATTAGGTTCATGTGTTCAAGCTTTTTCTTAAAATGAAACAATCCCAGGTTTTGTTTCCTTATTTGCTCTCAGGCTGATGTAACAGATGTTGCCCTTTGGGTTGAGGTGACCCTGGCAGAGGTTGGCTTTGGAGAGATGATGCTTCTTTCTTGGAGAGACATTCCTGCAGGTCTCTCCCATAAGGAATTGTCTTTCCTGTTCTTTCCCAGATCCCTCACATGGTTTTCTGCATCTTACCCTCATTTCTTCTCGTTCCCAGCGGAACTCTTCCACCAGCTGTCCCAGGCCTTGGCCGTGCTCACAGATGCAGCAGCCAGGGTAAGGATGCTCCCTTGGGAAGGGTGGGATTTTGGGGTGTTACTGGAAACTCTTCCTGTCTGTCCTGCTCTGTTCTCCAGTGGAGAGCCTGTGAATACAAGTCTCAGCTGTCGTTCCCTGTGTTTCTCCATGAGATCAGATATTAGGTGCCAAACAAAAGCTGGGAGAAACGTTCTGTTTCTGATCAGATGCTCTGTCCAAGGGTGAGATACTGTCTTTAATAACACGTTAGACTGGGACATATCCCATTTAATAACATAAATGATAACCACCCCTGATTCAGGGGCACTAAATTCCCATGGCAACAGTGCATTTGCAGTTCCCTCTAAGTCAGGGGCTGACATATGAATAATACCTGGATGTGATTGCTGAGGCTCCAAGCTTTTCATAAAAACAAACCAAAAATGAGCCAGTAACTCTCTGAAGATAAGCTCAGAAGAGAGACGTGTGCTGATTTCAGGTGATAAGAGCTAAAACCATTAAATAACTTCTCTTTTCAAACACTGGCAAAGCTTGTAATCCCCCTTCCAAGGGGGAATTCAGCTTTGGGCATCCAAGAACTTTTGGTCTTCTATATATTTAGAGGGAAAAACTGTTTAGCAAACCTTTGCCATACAGGAAGGGAATAAAAAAAGGGAAAATCGCAGCTTTTCTAGTTGATAAAAACAGTTGTACAACTATTCTCCAGGTAATATGAGAGGCAGTCTGTGCTCACCTCCTACACAGAGGTTCTGTGCAGGCTGAGGAACACATTAGCAGCTGGTTTAGCAGGTGCCAGTGAAATTGCCAGTTCACCCCAGTTCTTAGGTCTCTCTAGTGCTGAATTAATGTTGGTGTGTTTTTGCTGCTGAGGATTTTGGATGGTCTTTGATCTGATACATTCATAGGACCTCGAACACGTCTGCGAATAAATATTTCATGTCAAATAGACCTTTTTTAGTTGTAAAACTTTGCTCCAAAGCCAAGCTGGGCTGTTACCAGTGCCCCTAAAGCCACTTTTGGGATGTTCAGGGAACCAAAATGTTCTTCCCACCTCTGAAGATGGGTCAGAGTTCTCTCCAGTACATGCTGAAGTTATTCCTGGACTTTCTCACCCTTCCATCTGGAGATCTCTGGGCCTCTTCTCATGTTTGCAGGATATTTGTGTTAACTTCCAACACTTCTAGGAGTGATGTCTGATGTCATTTGATTCCCTGCTTTCCAGTTTCTCTCCCTGTTCCTGTAGTTTCACCCTGTTGTGCTGATTCCTTGGCAGGCAGCATATGACAAGGTGAGGAGGGCGAAGAAACAGGCTGCAGAAAGGACACAGAAGCTCGATGAGAAGAGGAAGAAAGTAAAGCTTGGTAATAAAACCAAACCTTCCCGTTGCCTTGAACTGGGTGTTTGCATTTCTTGTCCCACAGGAACTCCCCAGTGATCAACCTGCTGTCCATGTCTGGTGGCTCTGGGTTCTTTGTGCCCAGTACAATGCAGGAGCCACCTGGAATCTCCTCCCACAGCCATAGCTGGGATGGCCCTGCTCTGGGAAGGAAGGAATTAGGTCCTGCTCTGGGAATTAGGGGGGTTGGTGCCTGTTAGACTCCTTTGATGTGTGGGGGCAGAGGAGAGGTAGCAGTGACACCAGGACATCGGTGTAGGTGTAGCCACGTTTGTGATCTTTCCCTCCTCCCCTGGCCAGCAGGGAAAAATTAAAATTCTCTTTGAATTGTTTTAATTTCTGTTAAATATTTTGCATTTTATTAATGAATTTATTTTTTATTTAATTCCCTCTGCAGATCTTGAAGCCAGAGAACGAGAAGCCCAGTCCCAGGAGAACGAAGAGGAGGAGATCAGGATAACGAGATCATTAGAAGAAGAAGTAATGATTCATTCTTAGATTTCTCTGCTTCTTTTGAGAAAAATTGCTGAAAGTCTTTCCCTTCATGATGAAATCTATGGGATGAGATGCAGCAAATCTCTGGATTGCAGGACTTCAGGCTCTGGGACTAAGGGGCTCTATGAATCATACACTCCCAGGGTGGTTTGGGTTGAAAGGGACCTTAAAGCTCATCCAGTTCCGATCCCTTGCCATGGGCAGGGACACCTTCCTTTGGGCCAGGTTGCTCCAACCTGGCCACGGAAAAGAGGAATGTAGAAGGGATTTTGTGGCAGTCTGGCAAACGTGTTGATTTGGGGCTTGTATTTTTCCTGCCCTTTTCCTTTTGCACAGCAGACAACAACAACAACAACAGCTGCCTGGTTATCTGCTGACTGGGAGGGATGGTGTCACTGGGAACATCCCACTTTAGTGCTGGAGCTGTCCCAGGAGGGGTGTCCCAGGACACCCAAGCTCCCCTTGGGATTCCTGGCACGGAGCAGCCCTGGAATTGCCTCAGGTGTCCCGAACTGTGTTCCCTGTGCCGTAGATAATCCGCCTGCGGGAGGAGGGCTCCCGGCAGCTGGAGGAGCAGCAGAGGCTCATCAGGGAACAGATCCGGCTGGAAAGGGAGCAGCACAGCCAAGGTGAGCACAGAGGAGCTTGGAGCCCTCACCTGCCTCACGTACAGGGCCAGAAAAAGTCCTGATCTGGCAAGTTTAAGCAACAAAACAACCAGAGCTGCAGAGACAGAAACTCTCCTTGGGGTCCCCAGGCTTTTTCTTAACTTCATTTCACTTTTTTTTTTTTTTTTTAGTTTTTTTTTATTTATCTTTCATTTTTCGCAAATGGGGGAGGATGTTGAGAATTTACTTAGTGTAAGCCACTTTGAGATCCTTGCAATAAATGCACCATTATAAAGTATTTAATTGCAGGGCCAAATTAAATTCCTAGGCTGTGCTGTCCTGCTTTTTGTCTACCCTTAATTTTTCCACAGTTGTTCCTGCCAGGACAACTTCCTCTTGCAGGGAAAAATGCCTCAGAAGCTACCAGGTCTCGTGCTTGTATTTTTACTTACCTGTTTCTTGCCTTGATCGTGGCAAGTCTGGGCATCCTAGAAGGGAAAAACGCTGCCATGGAATATTCAGTCTGTGCTGCAGTTCCTGTTGCACAGGACTTTTGGGGCTGGAATGGTCTGGTGGAAATCCAAAAGTGTTTGCTGTTGTCATATGTATGATCTCAGGGAATATTTTGTGCTAAATGCTGAGGAATCTTCTCGCCCATGTCCTTTCAATCTGTGTTTTTCCCTTTCCCCTCTTTAGGCAAGCAGGAAAGAAATGGAGCAGAAGGCAAAGTAACTCCTAAACTCAAGGTAAGACACTCTTAAAAAGCTGGATTTTGGTGTAAACTTATAGAACACGATGGAAAACAGAAGGGACACTTCCACCCTGCTGAGCTGGCTCATCCCTTTTTACAGTGGAGGTGAAATTCCCCTGTGGAATGTGCATCTTCACATGAACAGCTCTTGTCCTTGCCCTTAGAATCCCTTCCTCCCTCACCTTTTCTCTGTCTGCTCCAGATTTCTGAGCCTGAAATTGAGTTGTTTTTGCTTTAAGCTCAGGGAAACATCTGCTAATTACCCTGACAGAGCCATCAGCATCCTTTCAGTGTGATCTTTTTATATTCCAGTGAGCAACAGTTTCTCCCTGTTCCCCAAACAGTTTGTTCCCTGTGCTCATTCCCGTGCTGAGATCACTGTCTTGGCAGTCCTGGGAGTGTGGCTGTAAATAGCAAACGTGGGGAATGTGCAGGGGGTGGGAGCAGCGTTGAGCACAGCAGGGCATTCAAACAGACAAAATTAACTCCTGGTGTTTATTTCCCAGCTCAGATGGAAATGCAGGAAAGAAGATGAGACGGGAGGGGGATACTCCAAAGATGTGCTGCTGCAGATCCTGCAAAAGGTCCCGTCTGACACTCACTTTTCTACTGCAGGGTCTTCCCCTGCTCTCTGGTATAAGGATAATGAATTCTGGGAAGCTACATGTCATAAAATTGTGGAACGATGGAATGGTTTGGGTTGGAAGGGACCTTAAAGCCCATCCAGTCCCACCCCCTTCCACTATCCCAGGTTGCTCCAAGCCCCGTCCAGCCTGGCCTTGGACACTTCCAGGGATGGGGCAGCCACAGCTTCTCTGGGCAACCTGTGCCAGGGCCTCCCCACCCTCACAGGGAAGAATTTTTTCCCAATCTAACCCTATTCCCTGTCAGTGTGAAGCCATTCCCCCATGTCCTGTCACTCCAGGCCCTGGTGAGATATAAACTGGGGTGGCTGATTTTTGTCTCTGTTCAGCTTTCTCGTGCAATTTTCATAAATCATCAGCACGTTCATGCAATCATTAGGTTGGAAAAGACCTCCAAGATCATCAACTCCAACCTTTGAACCAAGTTTGATCCTTTGATCCATGAGCTGGGAGCTGTTTCCCAGCTAACACCTCTGCCCTGCTGTGGGAAGTGCAGAGACAGGAGCAGACAAGCCTTTGATCTGATTAGTCCCAGCGTGGCAGCTTTATTTTCCCTCCCTGCAAGTGCCTCCTGTAGCTCTGTCTCTGAGCTGAGCATCCCTCTTGCACTGGGGCTTGCTGGAAGCCAAGAGTGTTGCTCTGTGCCTCTCTAGGATTGTCTCCTGGAGGGACAGAAATTATGGCAGGTTGGGGTTGGTGGAAGCACCGTGCGGGACAGAAATGGTGACAGCTCAACCTCGTGCCTGTGAAAACACGTTTTCTCTTTGTGTTCGTTTAATAAATGAACTCCACGTCTCTCCTGGCTCTGTAATTAACTTTTTTTCCTTCTTTCTTTTACCAGTATGGGGATGTGCTCAATTTGGTGATCTCCAGCAGGAAGACTGGGAGTGCAGTGGTGGAATTTGCTACGGTGAAGGCAGCGGTGAGTGTGCAGAGCCCCAGCTGGGTGTGGTGGGGGGGATGTCACAGGAGGGGACAGGTCACAGGGTGACAGCCCAGGTCATTAAGGCAGTGGAGAAGGCTAATGAGAGTCTGAAGGCACAGAGGGATGAAGGGAGTGGCAGAGCTGGAGGCACAGACCTGGAGCAGATCAGGCACATAAACAGGTTGTGCATGGAACAGGCTGAGGGAAGAGACAATGCCTGAAAAATCAGGGACTGAGCATTTAATCAGCTCCCACTGAAGGTGAATTACCTTGGAGTTGGGCTTTTGTGTTTTAGGGGTGATACCAGGCATTTGCAGTGAAAAACAAATCAAAGTGTCCTGGCTCACTGTGAGTTTTAATAATTCACGTGGCTGTGGGAACAGAAATCATCAGTTACCCTTAATTTTAGTAGTTCCATCAACTTACTCTGTGCAGGAGCCTCTCTGTTCCTTGTCACCTGTTCTTTCACTCACATCTAAAAGATCAAAAGGAAAACCAACCCAGAACTGTGTGTGACCTGTTTATCTGAAGATCTGGCAGGGGTATGTTCTGTCTGTGCTCAATGCAGATAAGGACCATAAAAGTGCCTTAAAGATGATCTGATTGCAACAGATCATAACAAATGGAATCACAGAACGGTTTAGGTCAGAAGGGGCCTTAAAGGCCATCAAGTTCCACCCCCTGCCATGGGCAGGGACACCTGCCACTAGCCCAGGCTGCTCAGAGGTCCATCCAACCTGGCCTTGGACACTTCCAGGGATGAATCTTGTTTGTGCCCCACTTGGCCTTGAGACCGGTCTGAGATGGGAAAGTGATCCTTAGGGACCTGTGAGGCAGCAGGGTCTGGAATTCAGGTGGTGATGGAAGAATATTTTCCTTGCTAGGAGATGGCTGTGAAGAATGAAGTTGGCCTGATAAACAATCCTCTGAAGATTTCCTGGCTGGAGGGGCAGCCCCGGAGCCACCCCAGCACTGTCCTCTCTGACAGCACCAGCCAGCCCAGGACCTCACAGGTAAGGAGACATGGGCTGTGGTATTTAAATTCGTTGCTGTAGCAACCTAAATTTCAGTGTGCTTTGTACTTATGGGCAAATATGAGCTGCAAAGAAACACTTGATGCCAGGCCTGGCTTTCCCACCAGCTTTTCTGTGCTGGACCAGTGGCTTTTTTAAAGAGAACTGGAGCTGTTTGGGTGACTGGATCTTCACACACTCACTGTCTTCCAGATGAGGAACAAGGATGTTCCTTGCTCAGCCCAAAGCCTCCAATGCCATTCTGCTGGGATTTTTTAATAGGTGTTGACTGTGGGAATTCTCTGGCTGAGAGCTGCTGAAATGAAGGTTTTTTTAGGCAGTCTTGGTTACTCACTGCATTCACAGGAGAAGGAAATTGCAGTGATGGAAGGAAACCTCTAATTTTAGGGTCTGCAGGAGGGAGGAGAAAGCAATATCAAACTAAATACCCTTCTAGAGACCTCGTTGTCTGGGTTTGGTCCTCCACACCAGTGTGGTTACTCTGAGTGCAAGCTGCATGTCTTCTGGCTTGCTTAGCCAGTTCCTTGGCTGGGAAGGTGGGAAGGGACCTGGTTGAAACTTCACATGACACTTACCCTCCTCTCCTCCTTCCCTGTGATATAAAGATCCAGAAATCTCATTGCTGAGAGGGCTCCTACCTCATGCTGTCCAGGTGCCCTTAAGCTGTGTGTCTCCATCAGCCTTTTGTGTGTTCACTCCCTGAATATTTTAAGCCTGTGAGGATGTTCAGTACATTCACTCTTGACTTTTTTGCCAGTGCTTTGTTTATAGTATTGGCATTTATACATCAGAATGCCTGGTTGTTGTTCTATCCATGTAGAATCCGTGAGAGTCCTGCAGCCACAGGAGATTCAGAGAGGGGACCAGGGTGGTAGAAAGGAAATTGGGGCAAAAAAAAAGGATTCTAAACCACTTTATTTGAGAATTTCTCATTAGGAGAGAGTGACAACTGGCTCATTCCTACCAAAGGGTGTTGCTGTTGCAGTTGGAGCTTGGTGGTGGATTCCAGCCTGTGTGGGTTCAGATCCCTGAGTTTATCCTGGCCTGTTTCTATGCCCAGAGCGTGTTATTTTGAAAGTGCAGTGTCTGCCTGTGGTGAAGGATTAGTGTAGTTGGGGCAGCAGGCAGAGCAGGAAAGCAGCACGAGGGGTTCATGGTGACCCACCTCTGCCCAGCACAGCCTCCTCAATCCCATCCTGGTTCTCAGGATGGGGAGGAGTTGCTGCCAGGGCCATGCATCCTTCCCAGGAATTGCACTGCTGATGCTTGGCTATCCTTTCTGCTGCTTTTTTTTCTGTAAGCAACTGCAATTTCTGGGATTACGTTGCAGCCTTGGATCTCTAAGCTGCTCTGCTTCCCACTTTTCTTAGTGCCTGCTCCAGACCCTCTCAAAATCCTGCTCCTGCTGCATCCACTAGGATGTTTCCACAGAATGATTAGTGTGCTAATAGCTCCTCTTGGCTGTTTTGCTTCCAGCTGACTTAGTTTGCCCTCTCCAGACCTAGACTGTGCAGGATGAGCCTCCAGATCCCTGCTGCTCCTGCCTCTTCCTTTCACACCCAGCCCGGCTTCCCAACCATCAGACTCCACATTCTTGCTTCCGAGCTGCACAAATCTTGTTCTGATTCAAGCTGCCCTCGCTTCCTATTTTCTTCCCCCCTGTTTTTGTCTGAATCCACCCCCATTTTGTTCCCACCCCGTGCAAAGGCAGCTCCTTCCCTGCTCTGCTTCAGCAAACAGCCCAAGACCCGCAGCGTTCTCATGGCAACGCGCTTGCTACTCATCCTCTGGGATAGTCATCCCGGTGCTCCCTGCCTGGGACAGGCAGCCGGGAGCTGAGTGCCAAAATCTCCAGGTAAAGGACGGTCAGACCCTAACCAGGGGGTTTGGAAGTACTTCCCGTGTGGAAGCAAGGCTGGCTGTTGTGCTGGGAGGAGGCAATAAGTTGCAGGCTACTCATTCTACAGCCATGGGTGCACGTTGTCCAGCAGTTCCTGGAGAGCTGCTGGAGCCAAGCAGGCGAGTTCCCCTTGGATTACAAAAGCTGTGGCTTGGCCAGTGTTACTCCAGGCTATTGAGAGCAATGCCTATGTGATGGTTCAGAGCACACAGTGGCTGTGCAGTGCAGTGAGGAGCTTGTTTTGCCACTACAACGGCGTGGAGCACTCAGGTTTGGGAAGGTTTTCCCTGCTCCTTTGGTAGGATCTCCCTGCCAGTGCTCCTCAACCCTGAGAAAAGCCTCCTGCCTGGCATCCTTGCACCTCTTCTAAGCTCCTTGGAGGTTTCAGAGAGTTTGTTTCATATTACCAGGCTCTGAGAGGTGAATCTAACAGGGTAAGAGCCGGCTGTGCCAGCTCTGGAATGTCCCTGCACTTTGCTGTAGCCACTTCCAAAGCTCCTGGTTGTCTGGGGGCATGGAGGTTTTATTATTGTTGGTTTTTAAAAGAGCCCTAATATCTAGCCTATCAGAAAGGTAAGAATTGGTGACTACTGCAGTGGTTTCTGCAGTGTCCTTTTAACAGTTTGCCCTGATGCTGCCCAAAATGTTCTCAGCCTGGTAGAGCCCTTCCCACTCTCCAGCTCAGGGGTGGAGAACCGGGTCTTGCCCTGAGCTGTGTGAGCTCTCCTTTGGGGAAAATCAAGTCCCAGCAGCTCTCTCCTTCCCCCAGCCCAGAAAAACAGAGCCACGCTGCTTCCCCTCCCTCAGAAAAACCTACAGTGCTGGGGAGGATGGATCTGGGCCACTCCAGATACCCTGTGCTCCTGGTGCCTTGGCTTTTTGTGGCTTGTTAACAACTAAATGAGGCAACCAGACACTTCCAGTCACAAATACATTTATTCTTCCATGTCTGTACAGCTGTCAGTGCATGCGTGAGGCAGCAGCGTGTGGAGACATCTCCTCTCCTGCCAGGAGGATAAACCCACTGCTGGTGCTCTATCACGAGCATGAGTGGATGCTTACCTGTTTCCAGGCTGGGAGTGCCAACTGCACTGGAGCTGGGGGAAAAGAAACCCACAAGGAGGAAGAAAAAAAAAAGAAAAGGAGGAACAGCTTTGATTTTTCACATCCAGACACGGTGGGAGAAGAACCCCCAGTTCCTGTCTCTCGGCCCTTGCCACACCTGTGGCTTTGAGGTGCAGTGCTGCTGTCTCCTTGCAGGCTGCCTGCTATCCCACAAGGGATCCATGCCAAGTCCCTCTGTGTCCCTGCCCCGCAGTGTCACAGCCACATCCCCAAAATAACAAGTCTTTCCCAAACAATGCCATTCTTCCCTGAGGAGGAGACGCACAGTCCGGAGTGGGAGATTCCCAGGGTGAAGAGTGGAAACAGTGCTCTCACCTGAGCTCTGCTCCAGAGGATTCCTTGGCAAGGACAGGGATGGTCTGTGGTGGGTGAGGTGAGGACAACAAAACAGACCACACACGACAGGCATGCTCCAGCATCCTTCCTCCCGCTGGGATCAGAGGAACCGGCAGCAGCATCGGGTAAATGGGATGTGGTGAATGATAAATACCTTCAGATGGCATAATCTCTTGGGTTCTGTTTCCTGAGGGTCTGCAGGACATCCTCAAGGAGCGATAGCCCCAAATCCACTTTGAAGGACAGGAAGGGGTCAGCCAGGTCGGGAAGAGTGGTGCCGTTCTGGGAACCTGCCTCTGAGGTCCCGTGGTCTGTAGCCTGGTCCTTGTGCGTTTGAGTGCCTTTGTGGTACTGAGCAGCGTCGGAAAAGGAGATGTCGGAGTGGGAGTCGGTGTGGTCGATGATGTTGGGGCAGCTGGAACTGTCCAGGTACAGCCGGGGAGGCTTGGGAGGGGCTTGTGCCTTGGCCAGGTTCTGCTCGCTCTGGCACGACAGGTAATCAGACTTGTCCTTCAGATCCCTCAAGCCTTCCCTCTTCTGGCCGTCAGTGTCCAGAGTGTGGCTGTTCTGGTTCAGGATGATGACTTGGTTGCCCAGCTTTTTGTGCCTCCTGAGGGAGAAACGTCTGAAGAACGTGGTGGACTTGATAGACCCTCTGCGCCAGGTGTCCATGCTGAGGGAAGGCAGTGAGGAGAAGGGACCTGCTGACTCCTCACAGGCAGGTGCTGGACTTGAGCCACGGGATCAGCAGCAAGCCACGCAGCAGGAACAGCCTCTTCCTGCCCCGTTCCCGTAGCTGGAAGGAAAACAGAGAGGCTGGTAGTGCAGGAAATGCAGACTCCACGCTGTGGTAAGGAGCAGTTGGCTTGTCTTGGATCTTAAGGAGTCTCCTCCTTGAGTGGAGAAGGAACACGGTGTCTGAGCTCGTTAAACGTGTGCTGGTGAGGAACAGCAAGGCACAGTCACCATGAGAACAGATCTAATCTGGCATCTAGAACAGAAGGGCACCCGGGTGCCATGGTAACCAGCCACCTTCTGTGGAGGGGCACCGCCGGAAAATCCAGTGGGTGGTTGGGAAGGAGACGGTGACTCAGTCCCACTGGAGGAGCCAAGGAAATACAGGCGAAGGGGGATGTAAAAAGCGACACCGCGAAAGGCAAATGTCGGGAGAACTGAATGCAAAGGAGACTTACGCCGTGTCGGAGCAGCCCTGAGTCCGAGGGCGCAGAGGAGAAACTCCTGGAGCACTCGGAGAACTGTGCCTGCCACGCTCACCAGGATGAAGGAGCAAGTCTGGTGTCAGCTGAGCCGGGAGTTTGGGAATTCAGCCAGGTTGGACCCAGAATGCTAAAAATCCCCAAAGCTGCTGCCGCCGCCGTCTCTTCATGTGCCGCCCGTCGCCTCTTCCCGGGCTGCAGCTCCTGCTCGGATGTGTTTGTTTTGAGCCAAGCCCTTGCTGAGTCAGCCACGTCAGGAACTGGGTTTTACACGATTGGTAATTGCCAGGATTGCAGGAAGTAGGTGTGTGGAGTGGCAAAGCCTCAGCCCACGCTGCCTGAGGAGCAGGAGAGCTCCTCGGAGGCACCCGGACTGCTGGGAGCTGCCAGCTTGGAGCCCACCTGGATCAGGCTCTTCTCCTCCCTCCTGCCACTCTGAGGGCTCCGTGTGTCAGCAGGGCTCCCAAACCAGGCTGGGAATAATCTCTTGTCTGTTTTAAATTTCAGTCCGTGTGCGAGGTGGGGATTCAGGTTTGTGTGGGTGATTCATCTGCATGAGTCTCACACAGCCTCTTCCATCCAGCCCAGCAAATCCCTGGGGTTGGTGGACAGGACTGGGGAGGATCCTGGTTCTGCTGCTGAGGTGCTTTCTGAGACACTGGTGCTGCCAGTACCCAAAGGTCATTTCACTCATCTGGCTCCTAAGACACCAATTAGACTCCTAATTTCCCACTCGACGTTCCTCATCTGTTGTGGGGCTTCTATTTTGTCCTCACAGCCGGAGGAACCACTTTGCTGGCACTTGATAACAAATTGCACTTGCCCCATTTTCATGCAGAGTCTTATTTAGCCATTCTATTGCCTTTGTATCCCGGCTGATTCCTGAGATGTCCTTAAGTACCCAGAGAAGCTGTGGCTGCCCCATCCCTGCAAGTGTCCAAGGGCAGGTTGGACAGAGCAACCTGGGCTAGTGGAAGGTGTCCCTGCCCATGGCAGGGGGTTGGAACCGGATGATCTTTAAGGTCCCTTCCAAGCCAAACCATTCTGTGATTCCATGACTCTCAGAAATCACCACTAAACCCAGTTCCTAGAAGAATGAACGTGAGGGGTGTTTTTTTTCCATTCACCTTTTGTCAAGACACTTATTTCTGCTTGAACTGTCAAGGAATGAAATGGATGTTTCCAAGCCTTGCAGTGCTTTCATAGATCCAAAATAGCACGGCCACCTACTAGTGTGGAATGGCTTTGGAAGCAGAGTTCCACAGCACTGGAGCAGCTGTCATCTGCTGCCCACGTTCATTAGGCAGAGTCTGCAATCAACTGGGTTCACGTGACAGTTGCTGCCACACGCAGCAGGAAGGCTCCGGGAACTTTGGAAAACTATTCCATTCCTGCATCAGGTTTGGGAACATACCTGGTGGTTTTCTTTCTGCAGCCACTTAGAATTTTTTTCCAGGTTGGAAAAGACCTCTAATATCATCAATTCCAACCGTTACAATCATAGAATCAGGAATGGTTTGGGTCGGAAGGGACCTTATGGATCATCCGGTTCCACTCCCCTGCCATTGTCAGGGGCACCTTCCACTGGCCCAGGTTGCTTCAAGCCCTGGCCTTGGACACTTCCAGGGATCCACAGCTTTTCTGGGCAACCTGTGCTGGGCCCTCACCACCCTCAGTGGGTTGGGAGTTATCAGTTCCGTGACTGATCCACACAGGTTGGGTGTTTTTATGGCGTTAGCCTTTATAACGGGTGAAGTGTACGCTGGACTTTGGGCCACAGCGTTGCAGGTGCAGGGTGAGCTCATCCTCCAAAATAATGCCCCATCCAGCCTCGTGGGGAGCAGGGAGCAGCTCTGGCAGCAAGAGAGGAATTCAGGAATGCAGGCTCTCTGTGTGTCCTGCTTTCCCCATCAGCCACGCTTAGGAAGCAGCTTGTTTTCTGTAGCCAGGCAGCTTTTACACCTCACCTGATCTCTGTGGGATCAAACTGCTTCCTGCCCAGAACTCCCGTGTTGTGAGGGGGGTTTGGGGAGAGGAGAGCTGGGTCTGCACTGTCCCTGATGGATTGTGTGTGTTTCCTGCTCCCTGCCAGGCTTCCGTGGTGTCGGAGCGGGACTACGAGAGCCTGGTGATGATGAGGATGCGCCAGGCAGCCGAGAGGCAGCAGCTCATCGAGCAGCTCCAGCGGGAAGACGAGGAAGAGTCTCACACTTAGCATGACAGTACGGATTCTCCCCACCCCTGCACCCCCCGCCCTGAGCTCTTTCTTAATTTAAGTCAATAAACCTCCTTTTTTAAAGCTGGTGTGGGAATACAAACTCCCAGGGACTGCGGCCTTTATCCCTTTCCAGGTTTGGGGAAGGAAATGGCTTCAGTGTGCAGGTATTACCCTGTCAGCATGTGTCCAGAGCAGCTGCCCCTTCCCATGGGACAGGGTGTGAGTGGTGCCATCAGAACACCAAACCTTGGAGCTTTTAATCCCTGGAAGCTTGTCTGGGAGCCGTGCATCCAGAAGGATTTGGCTGCAGCTTCAAACAACCCACAGAGGGACACTGGTGTCTTTAGAGCAAAGTTTTATTGGTGTTACCCCTACAGCAGGATCCATACACAGCCCCAAACATTCCAGCAATGCAACTGCTGCTGTTGGGATTAGGGCCTGCACCTGGAATGCTCACAACACCTTTCTGTGCTGTTTTGGGAACCCTGTGTTATGCTTGGATGGCACTCTGGGATCTGGAAGTCTGAAGATGCTGCTGACCACAATCCTGTGTGGGATGGAAATGGGCCTTTCTGCCAAGGGAAGGGATTCTCGGACCACTGGGTAGGTTTAGTGGTTCCCCCTCAGATTTCAGGGATGAGATGGGATGCTGTCCATGCCTGGTGTCCCCCTGTAACCTCCCTGGCCCGGGAGAAGGCACAGACCTCTCCAGGCAGCCCGAGAGAAGGCAGACAGGTCTGTTACTGAGCTTCCTCCAAGGCATGCTAAATAGATGATTAAAATGTAAAAAGCTGGAATTTGCCAGACTGCCATCCTGCTGAAGGCAGAGCTGGAGCCATCTGTTCCCTCTGCCTGATTTTTGGGCACACTTTCCTCCCCATGCTCTTGGGAAATGACAAGGATGGCAAAATCCCACTGGGTCCAGCTCTGCCTCTGCGCCGCTCCTCTCCCCGCCCGAGTGCCGGGGGTCTGGGACAGGAAGGAATGAAGGAAGGGGGAAAAAATTCGCTGTCAGTCCTGTAGAGATGATGTCCAGCGGGATCTTGTCTGGGTGGAAGGCAGGATTCTTCCTGGCTATTCCCTGTGGAGGCACCAGACCAGGGTCTGGCCCACGCCGGTCATGCTGACCACGCGATAGCCGAGCTTCTCCAGCTTGTCCAGGACCACGCGCGGCGCATCGTTCACGTAGTACTCACAGCTGCTCCCGGGAAAGAGGAGGAATAAAGTGAGCTGGGGGGAGGAAGAGACGGGAATTTCCTTGTGGAAGTGACTCTGCCTCACTCCTAACCCAGGTAAGCCCAGTGACTGCACCTGGCACAGGTGAGTGCGACACAGTGCCTTGGTTAACCCGAGGGGAAGGACACAGCCCACGGTGCCAAACCAAGGGGAATCCTGTCCAGGAGGGAAGGATCAGGTTAAATGGGAATGTGGCTCAGGGACTGGGTGTCCAGAGCCACGTGCTGCTCAGAAACTGGGCTGAAACTGTAGCAGAGGCTGCAGAGGTAAACACAGGGGAACACAGTTCTGGGAATTCATGGAGAAGGAGGAGAATCTGGGCCAAGCATGGAGGAACGATTCAGGTGTTTCTAAGGAATGAAATCCCAATGTTCTGCCCATGTTGGAGCATGTCTGTAAGCTGGGTGGGTTTGAGAGCCCGTGCTGAAATTTGGGGATTGGAACAAGGCGCTGCCTTCAGTCAGGTGGGAAACCTTTGGAAAGCCAGGAGTTGTCTGTCCTGCACAGAGGTGCCAGGTGAAGTGGAGCACAGGCTGCTCTGCCCCAGCAGTACCTGGGAGTCTGGGAACTGACTCTTGTCTGGCCCTAATTCCTCATTTGTTTTGTGCTGGCTCTGTGTTTGGAGCAGAAGCTGCTCATTCCTTCCCCTAGATCCCAGAGCCTGCTCCTCTGTGGAGCTGTGACACTGCTCCCCAGTAAAGGATCAGGCACAAACTGGGCTGAATTGGGTGGGGACAGCGGAGCTGAGCTGGCCAGTAGAACCTTTGGCACTGGATCTGCCAGCCTTGCCTTTGACACAGCTTCTGGGATGCAGCATTTATTGGAGCAGCTGGGATAAGTTCCAGGGCAGCTCAGCCCTTAGGTGACTCGCGGTGCCTGATAATGACGGGTTGCAGGATCACTGGGGATCCAGTTTGGGCACCTTAACAAAGACTCTCCTGATTTTCATACTAATAATGATAAAAAAAGGTCCAAAAGCCTTTCCAAAGCTGCTCCTGCTCGGGTTGCAGAGCCGTGCTGGAGCAGGGAGTGCTTTAAAGCACAAAATAACCCCAAGATGTGAGAGATTTTCCAGTTTCTCAAGATAGACTGTACTTGGCTGTAATTATAGATGTGGTGTAAAGATAATGTGTGTTATTATAAATGTCTTTGAAGTCCATGCTTTCTCTAGGAGGGTTGCCACATATCCTTCAGATTCCCAGTGGGAGGTGGTAAATATTATTCCCATTATTCAGAGGAAGGAGCAGAGGCAGGGATTTGTAGGAAACTAAAAAACAGAGTGGCTGAGCTAAAATCAGGAGGAAAGAGTTCCAAGGGCTTTATCACAGCTCTGTGTTGAGGGAGACAAAGATTGCACAGCGTGGGCATCAGACACGCTGCCATCTCGGTGTGCATCCAGTCGGGATGGAGGGGTGGGACACCTGCAAAGCCTTTTCTTCCAGATAAAGCACCATCAGGGAGAAGTCATCCCAGATTGGCACTGGTTTGGTGTGTGATTCCACCTGCTCTGCCTCCAGGTGTGCCAAAGCAGGAGAGCCCACGCAGGGGTGGGGCAGGAGCGTCCTCCGCACGCGGCGATTTGTGGGGCTGGAGCAGCCAACCCTCCTGGGATCTCTGCCCAGCTCTCCTCCAGCTCCCTGAGGACGGGGTTTGGCTGTGCCCGGAGGAACAGGTACACTGAATGTCAGCAGGTGCCTCAGCCCTCAGCTCCCAAATCCAACAGAGATAGCAGTGAAGACCAAAGGGTGCTGAGAGCGTGTGATTACCGGAGAGGCCGAGGACCCACATCCACCTGGGCACATCCAGAGTCCCCTTGTCCACAGCACCTGAGGATCAGGGATTTGCCCCTCGCCGTGGCTGCCCCTGTGCTACATCTGGGATCTTCCCTGTGCCCATCCTAGCTGTCCCTGTGCCACCCCTGGCTGCCCCCGGGGCTCTGCCACAGGCCCAGAGCGCGGGGACCACGTGCCTGCTCCCCACACCTCGTGGGACTTAATGAGGGGCCTTTGGGCAATGCAGAGCTGCGGAACAGGATCCGTGCACCCCCTGATTACAGGGAGTTAAGTGCTTCACCTGTCCATCCCAGTTTCCCAGCAGGTTCGTGCTGCTCAGGCCTTTCCTTCAGGCTCCCTCCAAGGTCATGGTTAAGGTTTTGGGGCCCAAGGTGCTGCAGGAAGGGGGAGGTTTGCAGCGTCTGTGTCTGCTCAGGAAGGACTTGGGGAAAATCCTGCTTGGCCGTGGTGCAGGTCCCAGAGCTTTCGGCCCTGGCTGGGACACTGGTGGAGGTGGCCGGGCTTGCCCCACTGGCACGTGGCCATGCTCTCGGGGTGCCAGCAGCCACGTTCCAGCCAGAGGACTTTCCCAATTCCCTGTTGCTCAAGAGCACGTGGGGACGACGTGCAGCGCCGCGGGGATGTGCCGTGGGGATGTGCCGTGGGGATGTGCCACAGGGATGTGCCATGAGGATGTGCTGAGGGGATGTGCTGAGGGGATGTGCCGTGGGGATGTGCCACGGGGATGTGCCGTGGGGATGTGCTATAGGGATGTGCTGTGGGGATGTGCCACGGGGATGTGCCACGGGGATGTGCCACGGGGATGTGCCATAGGGATGTGCCACAGGGATGTGCCACGGGGATGTGCCACGGGGATGCAGCAGAGTTCCCAACTATGACACCAGGCCGTGTCAAGGAGCAGGTGGGGCAGGAGGAGCTGAAAAGGCTCCAGGCCACAGCGAGGGAAGAAAGGTGGTGAATCCACCAGGGAGATCCCATAGGAAGCCTCGGATCCTTTCTCCCAAACAAGCAGAGCGTGGTGCTCTGGCTCCTTACAGCGCTGCAGCTCCCCCAGCTGCTGGGGCAGGTGCCACAGAGGCATTTGTCTGTCCTTGCCTTCCTTTCCCACCCAAATCCCAGGGATCCTTGCCCAAATCTCTCAGGATCCAGCAGCGCTTCTTCCTTCTTGGAGCCTGTTCTCCTTCTCCCCTGCCGTGTCTCCCATCTCGTTGCGTAACTTGGGGCTCAGCGGGTGGCAGCACAAAGCCCATGCTGCTGCCAATCCCTGCCCACCCACCGTCTTGGGAATAGCAGCACAGGGAGGGATCAGCCCAGCAAACACCCCCAGGAATTCGGTTTGGATAGGGGGGGCCCCAGTATTTATATTTTATCTCCTTATTCTTTAAAATCTCCCACCCCACTCAAATTTTAAGGCTGCAGCAGCTGAGGATCCAGCCCTCGGTGTTTGCCAGGCTGGTGCTGAGTAGGGGGGGTTTTCCCAGCTCCTCAGATGGAAGTTTAGGAATATGCTGGGACAAGAGGCCCCTTCTGTTAAATACCTGATCCTTCTCCTCTGTGCAGTGGGACATGAACAGGAATTGAGCTGCTCCTCTCTGTCAAGTTCATTTGCATTTAGGGGTTTGTTTTGCTTCGTGGTTGTTTGGGGTTTTTTCCCAGATAAAACCAAGAAGTGAAACATCAAGTGGGCAGAAAAAGGAAACAAAGTGGGCCAAGCCATGAGGAAGATGCTGGTCACATCTCCACATGGTACTTTGCTGAAGGCTGAGGTCAAACTCGACCTGGGCAGAGATGGGACATGGAGAAGTGGCAAATATCCATGGTTTGGGAACAGGTGAAGGGGTGGGAATTGGGGGGGGACACCACGGGAAGCAGCTCTGACCCCAGCACTCAGCAGCCCATGGGAAAGGTTTGGGAGCTGTTGAGAGGGGCTGGCTCAGGAGAAACCTCCAGCTGCGCTGGAGAGCAGGATGGGACAGGACAGATTGTGGCTGAGCTGGATGGGATAGGATGGGATGGGACAGACAGTCTATGGATGAGCCGAACAGGACAGAC